CATTCCTTAGCTCACAGTCTCTCCAGACCAGGCTGTCCTGCTGTGTCCCAGCAGGACTCCTCCATCGTGCATTGCCCACTCTCTGATGGGCTGAGTAAGTCCCATCCCGTTCAGAATTGCTGGCTTTTGTCAATTCTTTCTTAGTTTTTTTGCCCATCCCCAAGAAAGGGATCGCCCAAGTCACCCCACTTAGTGTCCTGGGTGGGGTCTGCCTTGGGAGCTCTTGTGAGAAGCAGGGCACCTGGAGGTCCAGCACTTCAAAAGGCTGATTGATCCAGTCTTACCATCCACTGGATTTTAAGTGTGAAGTATGTATAAAATAAAGCCAATGCAATTATTCACCATAGTACATTTTGCTGGATCAAGGCTGAACGATGTAGCACCTTTCTGGTTTTGGTCTCAACTTCAAGTAAAACTTCCTTCTGAGTGGTCTGGGATCCCACAGACCTCCCCAGGTGACAATCTGGTACCAAAAAGCAGAAACAGGTAATATACAATACCCATCTAGTATATGACCACTAGCCAGCACAGCTCATAGATTCCTTGCTGTTGTTGAATGCAGAAAATTAAGTCCATTTGTTATTGCTAGGTTTGATTTTACGCAGCATATATAAAAGCAGCCCTCCTTTTTCGTTGTCTCTTTCTTTTTTTAACAGAAAATGCCCCAAAAACAATAGAGGACGTCGGCAGAAGCAAAACCTAGGCCATTTTACTTCAGATACATCATCCAGAATGGTTTAACTTAGTGATTTTTATACCTACATTGACCATGTGATGTACATTTTTATTATATCTTTTTTTAAAGAATGGAAATATTTATTTCAGAGGCCTTATTTTTGAACATTTTTAGTGTTGGTCTGTATTCTGAAAGCATCAGCTCTAACAGCTATGGACTGTTTTAGTAAGTTTAATTTTATGTTTTTGAACACAGTAGTTCATTTTCTGTATCTGTATCACATGGTTATATAATAGACTTGTGCTTTATTCATGGAATGTAATATTTTTGGGAACACAGATTTATTCCATCAATGGTTGTAGATTAAAAACAAAACAAAAAAACCCCAACAAACCAACAAAAATGTCCACATTACCTAGCAAACAAGGCATGAACTAAAGGTAAAAATGTTTACAGCTTACTTTTCTTATGAGAAACTAGAAAACACTGTGTTTAAATACCGTAGATATTTAAATGTTTTTGGAAGTTAGTAACTGATTTTTTAGACACTGCCTATCGCATGAACTGTGAAGCTGTGTGCTGTGTGTAGTTGTAACATATTTATAAAACGTGAGCTGGGTCTAAGCACTGCCATCTTCATAAGTAATTCCAACAATTTATTTTTAAAGAGCAAAATTATAAATTTCATAATTTGAGAAGTTACTTGGTAGAGCAGATGGCGCAGGTCCAAAAGAAGTAGGTCTTAGTAGATTTAGGTATTGTAAAAATTGGTGTTGAATAATTGAACACAAATAATTGGAATAAAGCCTACTTTATCACTGTTAAAGCTGTTTTAATACTTCTTAAACTTTTTTAAAGAAAATACATGTTTTAACACGTACAATACAGATTGTATAGTGTTTGTGATTAAAATTTAAAAAATAAAAATGAATTAATTACTAGTGCTCTTGCATAGAGTATTTTCAAGAGCTAAAGAAGTCCATCCAAATTAGTCTGCTGGTCATAGTTATATTAATAGACTGTTAGTTGTCGTTTGAAAGATCCCGAGGTAAAGTGTGAATAGGTTGTGTTCAGCTGTTTTAATATGTAGTTTAGGCTTTCAGAATTTTGCATGTAGGATTTAATAATTTGTCCAATAAAAAAAAAAAAATGCTTTCAACATTTTGAACTGGAAAAGCATGTCACAATACAATGTTTTCACTATATTGCCTCTGGTTTAGTGTGTTTATTTGTTACCCTATGTGGTAATTGCAGCAAGCTGAAGACCTGAAGTTGTTTTGCTGGGAAAAACAACCGCGTTCATTTTCCTGACCGCTCTTTGAATTCCCTCAGAGGAAAGCACTCCAGTAACACAAAACCAAAAGTAGATCATTAAAAATATGCAAGTTTGCTTTTGTGCTTAATTAGTAAGTTACTTAACTTTCCCGGATTAGCACTAATAACTTCATCAGTACAGAAGCGTGACCCTTTAAACGTATGTTCCTTTCCGGACATTGCTTCCTAATTTTAGGGGTTTCATGTTGCTGAAAGTATCTGAACAATCATGTGTGGATATTTTGTAGTCAGAAGTATTTGACCAAGCTCCAGGAGCGGCGTTTCACGCCCTACTTTGAGCATCGCCGGAGCCAGCTGTCACCCTGGCTCCCTGCAGCAGCACCAGAGTCGTTCTGGCAGGATCACCGAAACTTTGCCTCCTGCCGACCTGGCCGACGGCAGGCAAAATGGATCGCCGTGAAATCACCTTGGAGGCTGACAAAACCCACCAAAATCGCCTCTCCAGCGTCACTGAGGAGGAAGAAGAGCAAGATGCAGCTTACACGATTGTCACAGTCCTGGACAAAGTGGCCAACATTGTGGACAGCGTGCAGGCGAGCCAGAAGAGGATAGAGGAGAGGCACAGGGAGATGGAAAATGCCATCAAGACCATACAGATTGACATTTTAAAGCTTTCCCAGGCTCACGGCAATACAGGCTACACAGTCAACAAGTTACTGGAGAAAACCCGCAAAGTCAGCTCCACTGTGAAGGAGGTGCGGGCACGTGTGGAGCGGCAGAGTGACAGCGTGCGGAAGGTGGAAGCCAAACAAGAGGACATGCTGAGGAAAAACAAATTCCGGGTCGTAATCTATCAGGTAACCGCGAGCCTAATTTCTTGTAGCACTGTCATTGTGCCACCTACTTGGTAGCCTCTTGTAGGCACCAGTTAATCAGCCAAAACATGCAGTGTATCCAACATGAGGATATATTGTGCTTTCTTTAACATTGAGTTGTGCTCCTCGGTGCCTTTCAGCATGAACCTACTGACGGCACCACACACGGTCTATTATTAGTGTTGGTAGGTTTCTGAGCCAGTCATGTAAGATTAACTGCAGATCAGCAAGGACTATTTGTTGCCTCTCTGAAAGGTAATATGAGGCAGGCTCTGTAAATCTAGTCATACAAACCATGCCTGACATTGATCCCTGTTATTTTTTTCACTGTATTGGGTAGAAGTCCAAATAGCAAAAGTGTTTGCAGGCTCCCTGGAATGCAGACTTACTTCTAACACTAATTTCAAAACATATGGTTGCTTTAACTTGCAGCATTACCCAGGCTTTCATACTGCTCTCAAATTGTGGCTTTTTTCATTGTCTCAGTCTATAGCAGTACATGCACAAACTAGAACTGAAACCCACAAACCCTTCATGACAGCAAATAGTACCTTGCGTGATCTACTGTGGAAATGGTTTAAGTCAGCACTGTTCTTCCAATCGTATTGGGCAAGGAAATCATACTTTTTCATTCATTGACCTCATTGTAGGATGTTCATTGTTCTTCTAAATTATTGTGTTTGAACAGAAATTTCACAAAATGTCATGGTCTCATCTACCTTCATACACAAGGTAGTAGAAGTGCAGGCACCTCGTGGGGTGTATCAGTTGCTAGCAAGTGCTGTGGAAGCCGTTTCTTTAATGGCCTGATCCTGCCATCTGCTGAAACTTCCCAGTTCCCCAAGTCAATAGAAAGTAAGTGTTTAATCTTTTGCCAGAAGCATAGTTTTTCCTTTGTACCAGCGAGTCCCCAAAGCTTCTTTCAAATGAGTCATATTCATCATTAGACATTCTTGAAAATACCAGCCCTCGTGAGTAACGCAATGTGTCCCACCGCCCAGCCTCACACCCGGCTCTTGCATCTGTTTGTACATAAATAACGTTACTTGCAATGAATGGAGCCGTGTGTTTCACCGAGTAGATTCACCGTTGTGTACAGCTGACAAATTCTTATGCATAATCTGGCTTGCTTAACTACTTCATTTTCTAATACCAGGAAGAAATAGCTAAAAAAAAAAGAGAGATAATAGCTGAAGGTAGGAAATGTTACCTCTTTAATGTTATGTTAGTACCATATGGAGCCAAATTGTGCCTCACAGATTTTCTGACTGAATGACTTACTATGGATGTTCAAGTGAAAGCATGGCACAGTTTGGCCTATTATTACAATTATTGCAAGCCGTACCATCATGATGGAGTAGAAAACAGGCACTTTTGCTTTTTCCTTGCAAATAATTTCCCAGCTAAAGGTAATAAATATCTCTGACTCCCCCAGTTAATGGCATAATGCCATTTCATTGATGGGCTTTTATCATAATGTTTGCAGTAGAATCAATGCTTTGAAAATGTTTGTTCTTAAAACAGCATTCATTACATAATGTAAATTTTTCTTCTAGCAAGGCGTGAGTTGTCATTTGTTTAAAACTGTAGTGAAATATAGTGGAAATGGATTTACACAGAGCTATAAAGAACAGCTGTTGCTATATTCAGATATTTCATACAAAAGGTGGCTCTCACAATGCATACATTCTCTAAGAATCACTTCCAGTAGGAGTTTCTGGACTCTGCTAGTTTTGCTGGACAAGAATGACCTGCACCATGTTCTGTATGTTTAATTCTTAGGTGGTACTTTTCAGGGAGGGTAACAGCATTTTTTATTGCCGTCTTTCTAGCTTCCTCTTCCTATGATAGTTGAGAACTGCCAGAAAGAATATGAATTACTTCCTCTTTAACTTCCATCCCTTTTGTAAGGTATGTTGAAGAACCTTTTCCTCTTGCACAGAGGAGGAACAGATATGCTGATCCCTCCAAGATCCAACATTTAACACTTTATTGGAGAAGGAGAGCTGCATTGCTCCACAAAAACTGGAACATGGTAGGTAGCCAAGAGTGTGCTGAAGCCTTAAGGCACAGGTACACTCGTGAAAGTCTCTTTCACACAAGTGCAGTGATTTTCATACTGTTGATTTACACCAGTGTAGGCGTACTGCTGGTGTGCCAGGACCTGAATGACTGAAGCTTGGCTATGATGACTGCAAGTCTGATAATAGCTACAGAATCAGCATACTCCCTTCAATATATTTTACAAATGGGTATAACCAAGTTGTTTACTTGGTAGTTGTGAGTGATAGTTCATCTGTAGTAAGATTTTTTTTCTGATGAACCATTTGGGACATAGTGATGGAGCCAATGACTTGTGTGTAGCCAGCATTGAATGCTTACGTGGGTGAGCGCACGTGGGTTTTAGTCTTAACTTTTGCCAGCACATTGGCATATAAGGAAAAGGGAAACACCAACTAAATCCTAAAGATTTTCTTTCAAGTGGATAGCTTTGTTGTTATCATTGACAGAAGGAGTAGGCAGGTTGAAAAGGATCATTGGCTGGAGGAGATTGTCCCAAGAGGCCTCAGCCATGATGAAAAGAGTTGGCATTAAAAAGAGACAAAGTGATCATCCGTGAGCATAGTGATTAGAGAAATTGAGAGCATTCATTTTTAAAAGGCCATGCGGTTGAGGAAGAGATTTGGTAGCAGGCAGCTCTCCTCCCCAGGCTGATTGCATGATTAAAAGTGCCAGGTTACTTCAGACTTCCTAGCAAGGTCTTTGACCCTGGAGTGCTGTGTGCCCTGAGAGTATAGTAGGGAATGCAAAGAACATTATAGGTTGTGCAGGTCACTGTTCTCTGCTGTTCTGGTTAGTCTGGATAACCAGCTGTGAGAGCTATCATTTCTCTGCAAAGAGCGTCTAACAATTTAACTCACTCTGAGTAAATTATTCAGAAATTAAAGGGGATTTTTTTTTTTTTTTTAAATCCTGAAATAACTTGTTTCATTTGGTTTCCTGCATGTTCTGCAAGTCCTTCTTTGAGTGTGAGTGTACAGTCATCAGAAAGTCCACATTACAGTTACTAGGTTCTTTTCTATTTATGTAAGCACTATAAATGAGTAACAACTTCCTAGGAAGGAATGCACGCCTTTGTATTGCTCGCTGCTGTCTGTTGTTTAAAATCAGTGGACAGTCACAGAGGACATGTCAGAAACCAGGTATGGTTATGGCTTGACTGGCCTATACAACCATGTTACAACTGATTTGTTAAGCCTACGATTGCTCCACCCCACACACGACATGAGGCTAGCAGAAGCAGCCTTCCATTTGCCCCTCATATTATGCATAAATAAATTAAAATACAAGTAGTGTTTCCTGGCCACTGTTCATCTGCAGCATAATGACTTGGACAGTAAAAATTTTGAGATTGAGATGGGGACAATAATTGTAATCTGAAGTGGAAGCACTTCCATCTGAAGCGGCAGTAAAAGTCAAGGTGGCATGAGCTCGAGACGAGGTTGCAAACATAGGCTCTGAAAGACCCAGCGCATGAACTCATCATCCATCCACATGGATGTTTAATTACAGCTATTCTGAGAAAAACCTGTGAGAGCAACCATGACATGAAAGACAGCAAATATAACACAGCTATTTAAAAAAAAGACAAAGGAAACAATCTGAGCCATTGCCATTCATCTGATATCATTTGTCCATAAGAATGGCAGGCTCGGAACAGGCTCTGCAGAACAGATCGTTAGTATCACGGAGTTAAGTAGTTCACCAAGAGCACATTGTGGTAGGTAATTCATATTTGATCATTTTTCAGTTTCGCAGAAAGATGAGAGGTTTTATGCTTTTTCATATTTAGGTACCTGATATCTTACCTCATAACAGATAATCTGGAAAAAAACAGATGACAGTGGATTGTGTTGAAATAGGAAGTGAGGCTTGTGATCGGTTTCTAAAAGGGTCTGCTGCTAAAACTCTTTGTCAACTGTTTTCGTTAAAGACCTTGGCACAGAAAAAGATACTAATATATTATGCTCAAAATGAGGAGCTGTCAGTGCAGA